ATTTTTCCATGTACCCCCTGTAATGTGCTTGCATACCCCAAGGTGTACCTGTACCCCTGGTTGCGAATCACCGCTCTAAATGATGTAGGATGGTGGACCTGGAGCACCAGATGGATGCCCCCTGCTTTAGCAAATAATTCAACTCTTGTTTGTCTGTTAGCAAAATATCATTTAAACCAGTGGATGGATTTTAATGAAGCTTTTAGAAAAAATATCCATTTGATGTGCATTTACATCTGATTAACTTTTGGAGTCTAGATGATCACCATTATCTGCCGTAGAAAGCACAAAAAAAAGGCTCAAGTTAATTTTAAATTTGATGTGGTACAGATAAGATCTTTGTTTAAAACTTTAGCATGATTATCAAGTGAACTACAGAAAAGTGAATCTATAAGGAAAGCCCAGTGATTTCTGCTGCAGTGGAGGGTTTTGTTGGTGGGAAAGTTTCAAAGACGTGAACTGAAAAAAAAATAAAATAAAATCTGAGCCTCCTAAAATACACTCCTTCTATCGAGCTGTGCTCTCTTTTGTTGAGAGGAGCCTGGTTATTTGATGTTATGCTAATAACGTTTGTGAGCATGAAATTTCCCCAGACAAAAGATGAGGAGGAGGAGGAGGAGGAGGAGGAGGGGTGGGCGTGGCCTCAAGGCTGAGGTCTTCCTGCTCTGGTGAACACGTGGTTCCTGCTGCTCTGTCAGGGAGTGAAGGTTTGCAGCTTCACTCTTTTCCTTTTCTACCAGCTCAGACACCGAAAACCTCCTCTTTGTTTTTTTAATTTTATTTTTTTTATTGTTGCTGGTAACTCCCTCCCGCTTGCACCTCCTTCTCCTCCTCCTCGCCTTTGCGCCGACAGACTGAGAGCCAGGCCGCGGACGGTCGCTCCAACGTGGATCTGCTCCGACAGCGAGTGTGTGTCCCTGTGAAAGGAAGATAAGAGTGTGTGTGTTAGTGTGTGTGTGTGTGTGTGTGTGTGTGTGTGTGTGTGTGTGTGTGTGTGTGTGTGTGTGTGTGTGTGTGTGTGTGTGTGTGTGAGCGCTCCCCCCGCCGATCCACCCGTCTTATCCTCCCCCTCCTCCCCTCCTCCCCCTCCTCTCCCTCACACTTCTTCATTTTTTCGGTCATGACGCTGGAAGCGATCCGCTACCGGACCGGGTCCTTGCAGGTCCTCAACCAGCTGTTGTTGCCACACCAGACGGTCTACGATGAGATCCGCTCCGTGCAGGACGCCTACGAGGCCATCAAGTCCATGAAGGTATGTCTCCTGGTCCTGGTTTTTGTGTGTGTCTGTGTGTGTCTGTGTGTGTGTGTACCCGACATGCATGTGCTGTATGTCGGGTCTTTTGTGCTCCCGCCTGGCTGCTGTCGGCCTCCATCCATGCATTTTTTTGTTTTGGACACCTCCCACAACCATCTACCCCCCTCCTTAAAGCTGCCTCCATTCATAGTTTTCACATTATCTGTTGAGAAAAAGCAAGTATCCACCCTTAACACCCCCCATCCTCCTCCTCCTCCTCCTTTCTTTTTTCTTTGGGAGAGATTATGGATGAATTATTAATGACCTTTGCCTGGTTTTTTGTTCACGTTTTGTGCTGCACTCTCTGACACCTCCAGCTCCTGTGGTTTTCTCTGTCTGAATCCCTAAAATGCAGAATGCTAAAGTGGATGTTTTGTTTTTCAAAAATAAGAATGTATTTTTCAGGATGTTGTCACCCAGAGCGCAGCAGATATTCAACTCTTTTGTCTTTACAGTGGGTGATTTCACGCCACTCTTGAATCTTGTGACAAATTTTCCTCACGTGCATCGCCGTGACAGGAAATGTCCTGGTGTAAAAGATCAGCTCACGCAGAAAGACGATGCGATGACCCGTCCCCTCTCTCCTCCTCCATCACCCTCTCCAGGTGCGAGGAGCTCCGGCCATCGCCATCGTGGGTTGCCTCAGCCTGGCCGTGGAGCTGAGGGCGGGCGCCGGGGGTGATGACCCCGTCACCTTCATCAGGGAGTCTCTGTGTCACCTGACCTCGGCCAGGCCCACCGCCGTCAACATGGGCCGGGCCGCACGCGAGCTGATGGAGTTCGCGGAGAACGAGAGCATGGAGAAGAACTCGGAGCAGCTCAGAGAAAGGTGGGCCGCTTGGACCCATTCAGACCTGTTTGCTTCACTGAGGAGCAGCTCGTTCTGACTGATGCTTAGCTTTCAGGAAAAAAAAACACATTTTAGACTCTAAACCTATTTGGGTCGGTGGTAGCTGGTGGTCAGAGACGTGGTTCTGTAACGTTGAGGCTGCAGGTTCAGAAAGGGCATACGGTGCAAAAGTTGCTAAATCTTTCATGCAAGTTGGGTCACTGTGGAAGATGCCAATGCATCAACTCCAAAGCATCCTTTCTGTTGTGTTGGTTTTGCTGTGTGTGATTTCTTTCAGTTTTAATGCGTGGCAGCTTTGGAATAATACGCGAACGTATCAAAACAAGTTGCGCAGTCAGGAAGTGGCCCAGCAACAGGCTATGACTTTTGGCAGCTGTACACCGTTAACAAAATGAACAAAATCATTTTAGGACATCACTGTCCAAACATTAAAAATAACACGTCTGACTGTTAGTCTACTGCCCCTCGTGGTTCAAGAACTTTAGAGATCTGTTTGAGGCTTACTTTCCAGTCTGTTTCTGTCTGCTGCTTTTATGATTGCAGTCAATGAGCGACAGACTCAGGTGTGTGGTTACCGTCCGTCATGACCATAATGAGCCACTGGTTGCTGCTTTAATGTTTCTTTATATCTTGATTATTTTTACATGTCTTTATGCACCAAAATGTAGTCGTTTGTCTTCTACTGTTACAAAGATTCACTATATTGACAAAAGTATTTGCTCACCCATCCAAATGACTGTGCAACAGTGCACAAAGGTCCATAAAGGCATGATAGAGTCTGGTGTGGATGAACTTGACTGACCTGCACAGAGTCCTGACCTCAACCTGATAGAACACCTTTGGGATGAATTAGAGCAGAGACAGAGCCAGGCCTTCTGTCCAACATCTGTATGTGACCTCACAAATGTGCTTCTGGAAGAATGGTCCAAAATCCCCCAAAACACTCCTAAACCTTGTGGACAGCTTTCAGAACAGATGAAGCTGTTCTAGCTGCCAGTGATGTTTAAAGTACCTCAGAGTGATACTTGAGTAAAAGTACAAGTATCTTACCATAAATTTATTTTGGTAAAAGTTCAAGTCTCCTCTAAGAATATTACTTGGGTAAAAGTCTTAAAGTATCTAATACATTTTGTACTTAGGTATCAAAAGTAAATATCTGACATAAACTGTACTTAAGTATTAAAAGTAAAAGTACTGAGTAAAAATGAGTGGCTAGACTTCCCAAAATGACATTTATTGGGAGTTGATACCCTCAAAAATATTTTTCTAAAGGCCAAAATGACTATATTGTCATATAAAAATTTTAATGTTAGAAAAATTAGGATGCACTACACCAGTTGCAATACACCTCTTTGTGTATATATACACCTCTTTGTGTATATATACAGCGGGTAAAATAAGTATTGAACACGTCACCATTTTTCTCAGTAAATCTATTACTAGAGGTGCTAATGACATGAAATTTTCACCAGATGTTGGTAACAACCCAAGTGATCCATACATACAAAGAAATCAAACCATAAATGTCCAGAAATGAAGTTATTTGTAATAATGTGGAATGGCACAGGGAAAAAGTATTGAACACACTTACTGAAATTTATCTAATACTTTGTAGAAAAGCCTTTGTTGTCAATGACAGCTTCAAGACGCCTCCTGTATGGAGAAACTAGTGGCATGCATTGCTCAGGTGTGATTTTGGCCCATTCTTCCACACAAACAGTCTTCAAATCTTGAAGGTTTCGTGGACCTCTTCTATGAACTCTGATCTTTAGTTCTTTCCATAGATTTTCTGTTGGATTCAGGTCAGGTGATTGGCTGGGCCATTCCAGCAGCTTTAGTTTCTTTCTCTGAAACCAACTGAGAGTTTCCTTGGCTTTGTGTTTGGGCTCATTGTCTTGCTGAAATGTCCAGCCACATTTCATCTTCATCATCCTGGTAGATGGAAGCAGATTTTTATCAAGAATGTCTCTGTACATTTTTCCACTCATCCTTCCTTCAATTATTTGAAGTTTGCCAGTACCATATGCTGAAAAACAGCCCCACACCATGATGTTCCCACCTCCAAACTTCACTGTTGGTATGGTGTTTTTGGGCTGATGTGCAGTGCCATTTGACCTCCAAACATGATGTGTATTCTGGCATCCAAACAGTTCAATGTTGGTCTCATCTGACCAGACTATATTCTCCCAGTATTACACAGGCTTGTTTAAATGTTGTGCAGCAAACTTTAAAGGAGCTTCAACATGCTGTTTCTTCAGCAGAGGAGTCTTGCGTGGTGAGCGTGCATACAGGCCATGGTGGTTCAGTGCATTACTTATTGTTTTCTTTGAAACAAACGTACCTGCTAATTCCAGGTCTTTCTGAAGCTCTCCACAAGTGGTCCTTGGCTCTTGGACAACTCTTCTGATAATTCTTTTCACTCCTCTATCAGAAATCTTGTGAGGAGCACCTGGTCGTGGTCGGTTTATGGTGAAATGATGTTCTTTCCACTTCTGAATTATGGCCCCAACAGTGCTCACTGGAACCTTCAGAAGTTTAGACATTCTTCTGTAACCGATGCCATCATTATGCTTTGCAACAATAAGGTTGTGAAGGTCTTGAGAGAGCTCTTTACTTTTACCCATCATCAGATGGTTCTTGTGTGATACCTGGCCATCATTTGGGACTGAACCAGCTGATATTAATTTGCACTGACAAGGGGCAGGCTTGTTTTCTAATTACTGAGAGAGTTCAGCTGGTGTCTTGGCTTTCCATGCCTTTTTACACCTCCCTTTCTTCATGTGTTCAATACTTTTTCACTGAGCCATTCCACATTATTACAAATAACTTCATTTCTGGACATTTATGGTTTGATTTCTTTGTATGTATGGATCACTTGGGTTGTTACCGACATCTGGTGAAAATTTCATGTCATTAGCTCCTCTAGTAATATATTTACTGAGAAAAATGGTGACGTGTTCAATACTTATTTTACCCGCTGTATGTCTATCATATGACACAAGTCAGGCTGAATGCCTTCCTAACAGATAAACTCATTTGTAAAGCAAAGTTTATATCTTGTCACATTTGCACAAGACAATTGTTTACTTTGTAAAGATTTGTTTGTGTTGCAGTCATGATAGATGTTGATTGTATCGGGCCACTAATCAGCAGAGCTACACAGTTCTGTCCAAAACAAAAACAATAGATGTTAAGAACTGGTAGAAAAAATGTGGAAACGCTGCTGTTAGCGTAGCATCATAAACGTGGTTAGCGTAGCACCATGAACATTGGTCCGATGACGAAATGAAGACATGAAAAATTAACTCGTGAAATGGTAAAAAGGTGTAAAAACCTTTGATGTAACTCTTTATAGCAATGTCATTTTACAAAAATATTTCAAAAGCTGCTGATGTAATGACTCCTGTTGATTTTCAAAATCTTCCTTTTAAATGACCCTAAAAACTGTGCTCATTTCTGCACCACTAAAATTGCCGAGTCATGATTTGTCAGGATCTGATGGTAAATTTGATGTACTTCATTCAGTACAGTTCCAGAGTCCTGACTCATGATTGTCATAAAGCAGCAATATTATTGGTGTTTTTAAGGACATGAAACAAACATCAGGCTCTGTCTTTAGAGCATGTTTTATTTTTTGAAGTCACTACTTTTCCAACTTAAAGGAAATAAACTTAAAGGACCTGTGACATGCTTATCCTTCAAATACAAAAAGTCAAAGAAAACATTGATATCTAAGAAAATTAGCATAACACACATGATTTTACCCATTTTGTCTCATAATTGGCATATGTTCTCTCGAATTTGGCTCAGCAAAGTGAAACAGGAAGTGACATCAAAGGGGAACTCTTTAAGAAAATAAACTCTAGTCTTTGTTTATTGAAACAATCTTATTTAAACTCTTCAACTCTGATAGTGACTCTAATCTAAAGAAACATTGGAGTCTTCTCTAAATATTGTAGCATTGCTTTGTTTACATGCAGACATTCCCCTTTGACATCACTTCCTGTTTCTTCCAATGCAAATATCTCAACAGCTGTTCATCCCAATGGCGTGAAATTTGTTTTGTAACATTTTATCAATGTTCTCTTTCCAAAATCGCATTCACATTTTACAGAAACTTGATGTCACAGGCACTTCAAACTTGATTTGAGTTACCAAAAGCTTTAAAATGTTTTGTACAGTGAGCTCATAAGAACTGTGCTATTCATTATTATTTTACACCTAATTTAACTTTTAAACTGTGATTCATTTAATTTGCTTCAAAATTCTTTGTAACTCTAATACTCATCTGAATTTAAAAATGTAAATAAAACCAAGGCTCACCTGAACTGTCCTCCATGATGAATGATGTTTTGTTGCACAATAAACAAAACAATTTAAAATATTCTTTGCAAAGTTACAAAAACTGGAAAAAAATCACAAGGAAACCATTCACATATTTATTACAATAAAACCAATCGTGTCTATATGTAATAAAATAAAATGTTTTAATTCATACATGTTTTTTTCTGAAATTGGTGGTCAACATGCCCTTTAAATTAATAATTTGTTAACATCTGTTCATAATAACATTTGCTAACTACATGTTTGTCCAAAATAGGCCAACAATGGTGATGTCCATAAAAGAGCCAACTGGTATTATCATAGTTTTAATGAATCAAGCCAAAAGAAGACGCCGTGTAAAGGCTTTCAAACTCCCAACACTGCCTGTCTCTTGTTTAAAGTTGAGTGTATAACACTATAAACTATAGATGTTGTGCACAAAAGACAAATAAATGCCAAAATACAAGCTCAGAACCAACCCTCATCTGACTAAATCCAGTCTGTAGGCAGCTTCTAACTCGGGATGTCGCGATCAGATGCTCAGTATCTGTGGCAGATATGGCCATTTTTTGAAAATGGGGTAGAATCAGATTTAGTCATGTGATCGGGCCGATCAAGTTTTCGTGACAGTTTTCAGCATCATCATGCTTTACAGCTGCCGTTAAGAAGTCAAGACACACACAAGTATGTAACCATGTCCACAGTGTGGGAACACTTTTCAATGAAAAACAATGATGCTGAAACTGCATCTTGCAAAATCTGCAAACTGGATGTTTCTCGTGGTGGGGACAGCAGGGCTCGCTTTAATACTACCAACCTTGTCACTTGGAAAGAAATAAAAATAAAGCTATCGGATCGGTATCGGAAAGACTAATCATTAAAAAAATCGGATTGTATCAGGAGCCAAAAATCGAGTAAAGGGTCTCTGCAGTAGGTTTTGTCCTGCGGGCGAAGACGGCCCTACTCGTGATTGGCGGAGGTCTTGATGTGGGCGGAGATGGCTCGAGACGTGATTGGTCGGATTGACGGTGGGGTTTGAGGAGGCTGGAGGCAGCGGGGAGTAGCTTGATCGAGTCAGGCAGGAAGTAACATTTTTTTAAGATTAATTTTAGTCATAAGTGGAGAAAGCAGTCCTTTCTGCATGAAATTAGAAAATCTTACATGTGAAAGGATGTGTAACAATATGGCTTGGTTAAAACATCCCTAACCAGTCTGTAAAAAGATAGCTAAAAATCAATATTTTTTTACAGGCTGGTTAGGGATGTTTCACCGAGCCATATTGTTACACATCCTTTCACATGTATGACGTTCAAATTGCATGCAACTAGCACTTTCCCTTCTCAAGTTATGACTAAAATGAATCTAAAAAAACAAAACATGTTACTTCCTGCCCGACTCGACCAAAGCCCCGCTGCCTCCAGCCTCATACCCCACCATCAGTCCGAGATCTCTCGGGCCATCTCCACCCACATAAACACCTCGGCCAATCACGAGCAGAGATGTCTCCACCCACATTAAGACCTCGGCCAATGACGATTTGGGCCGTCTCCGCCCACAGGACAACACATTCTGCAAAGACCCCTACTTGAAAAAATCTGGATGGGGGACATCCCTACTTGTGAACAAATCAGACTGGAGATAAATACAATTCAGGTTAAAAATGTTCTGCATGCAGAGCTCTGTTTTATGGTGCCGACCAGCTTGATCCCCCGATGACTCACGTTGTTTTTATGTTTATCTGCGGATTCACGCTTTTATCTCCACCTAAACATAATCTTCAAGGTTCTAGGCTTGTCAGATTTGTTTACCAACACAGCCTGATGTAGGTTTATCATAGTACTCAGTTCTCAGAAAGTCATAAAGCGTGAGGGATTTTTTTTCAGACACGTTCGAAATAAAACATTTTTTTTTTAAATTTGAAAAAGTCCCGCTGAAGCATCAGGTTAACTTTCATATGTGTGATTTTTGTTTCACATATTGTATTTTTTTGTGACTTCACAAATTTGTGACAGAGATACTTTTTATTAAACTGGCATAGTTAAAGTGGTGCAGCTGTGATGAAAGGATTGAAAAGAAGCACGTAGTCATAATTTCACCTCTTCTGATGCCTCCGTCTCCCTCCCTACAGTGTAATCGCTTGGATCGAAGACATGCTGGAGCGTGATGTCAACGACAACAGGAAGATCGGTAACTATGGAGCACAGCACATCCTGTCAGGCGTCCCGAGAGACTCCGTGACCGTCCTGACACACTGCAACACCGGCTCGCTGGCCACAGCTGGATATGGCACGGCGCTGGGTGAGGCTGGAGCTTTGGGTCTGAATACAGCTTTGGAAAGCACCTGTAGCGCTCTGACCGTAGTGCTGATTGTGTGAACAGGTGTGGTGAGAAGTCTCCACGCTTTGGGCAGGCTGAAGCGCGTTTACTGCACAGAGACACGGCCGTACAACCAGGGCTCCAGACTGACGGCGTACGAGATGGTGGCAGAGGGAATACCTGCCACTCTTATCACAGACAGCATGGCGGCGCTCACCATGAGAGAGATGGACATCACAGGTGTGTTCCTGAGCACGTCTTCATGGCTTTATTCAGAACTTTAACCGTGAAATCCTCTGTTTCCTCCTGAAGCTGTGGTTGTAGGTGCGGATCGGGTGGTTGCAAACGGTGACACGGCCAACAAGGTGGGCACGTACCAGCTGGCCATTGCCGCAAAGCATCATGGGATTCCTTTTTATGTGGCTGCCCCGAGCACATCCTGCGACCTGAGCCTTGAGAGCGGGAGAGACATCATTATTGAAGTGCGCCCCCCTGAGGAGCTCACCAGTATAAACGGTGTTCCTGTAGCCGCCCCTGGTAAGAAATGAAAAATAAACTAGACATGGGTTTTTACGATGTAAATACAAGTGTGCATTGCCATGTAGCATGGCTTTGCCTGCAGCATTGGACTTGCAGAATGAACTTTGACCAAGTTTAAATATGTTTTCTAAACCAGCTTGTGCCTGTCACGTCAGCAGGTGTTTGTAGTTAAGGTAATTGAGTGACAATATGAAGTTGGAAGAGATTTTTTGTTAAAGTTGCAGTAGCTGGATTTGAACCCTGATCTCCCGCATGAAAGCCCACAGTGTTCATCATGAGACTATAGGAGATGTGGCAGAGGACAATCCCAGGGATTGGATTGTATTTATACTGAAAAAGTTTACCTTGCCAATGCAATCATTGACACTTAAGTGCAATATATTACAGCAATTGGACAATATAAAGACAGTATTACAGCAAAACATCCAAATACAATCATTAATATTGTAATCACTGAACTACTGAGTTTAAATATTATGAAACTATGGTGCAGTACCATATTGTGTAGATGCAGCAGGGGGCAGTATTGGACCNGGCTTAACAACAGCTTAGGGCAGGTGTCAGAGAGGTTTGGTCCCAGGACTGCAGACTCAAAAAWCAGTCTTTTTTATTGACAAACAGAAAACAAAATGTTGTTGTGGCAACAAAACATCCACAGCTAGAAGAATCACAAATAATAATTAAAACTAGGCATGGGTTTTTACGATGTAAAAACAAATGTGCATTGCCATGCCTGCAGCAGTGGACTTACCAGCTTGTTCCTGTCACGTCAGCAGATATTTGTAATGAGGATAATTGTGTGACAATATGAAGTTCGTGGAGATTTTTAGTTAAAGTTGCTGTAGTTGGGTTTGAACCCTGATCTCCCACATGAAAGCCTATGGCACTAACCATGAGACCATGAGACCATTGGAGCTGTGGCAGAAGGAGGTGGCAGGGGTTTGGTTGGTTTGTGTGCAGAAATAGGCCACCTTGCCAATGCAATCCTTGACACTAAACTGCAATATATTACAACAATAGGACAATAATAAGACAGTATTTCAGTAAAACATAAAAAATACAATCATATTAATATTGTAATCACTGAACTACTGAGTTTAAATAACATTAAACTATGGTGCAGTACCATATTGTGTAGATGCAGCAGGGGGCAGTATTGGACCAATACATGGCTCCATTGACTGCTATTATAATTTATTAAACATTAATATTTCAAAAACTATAAGTTTTACAGGCACCAAAAGGCATAGCCATCCTATGGTGCAGTACCATATTGTGTAGATGCAGCAGGGGGCAGTATTGGACCAATACATGGCTCCATTGACTGCAATTATAATTTATTAAACATTAATATTTCAAAAACTATAAGTTTTACAGGCACCAAAAGGCATAGCCATCATTTGGCACAGGGGCTTTACAGATATAAATTACAATGGCAGCTCTAGGACAAAGTATGCAGGAGGAGAAGCATGGCAAAGTTGAGATGACTTGGATGGGAAATGAATCACAATAGTGTGCATTGCATTGGCAATGCACACTGATAAAATCTCCCAAGTGTTAGCTTTATTTTGATACCAAGGTTATTTAAGTAGAGTTTGTAAATGCTAAGATACACTCAGTTACATCGCAGTATGGTATTTTGAGCAAAAACATAAAAAAAAAAACCTTGGGGCTTAAACGTGATGGTAAAACGTGTAAATTCCTAAATAACAGTGAGATAGAGTAAAAGCATTTTGAGCATTTTATTCTCCCTGCTGAGTGGCAAAAAATGCTAAACTTCAGTCTGCTCTCCCGCTGCTATCCTCGGTGACAGCTGTCGTATACATTGCCCCCGGTCAGAACTCTTGACGTGGACGTTGCAGCTTGGAGCGTGTGATCGGTCAGAACTTTGTGGGTGTATTTGTTCATGAGGAGCACTTCGGGACGTGGATTTCTACCTTGAGAGTTACCCAAGCGCTAATATAGAGAACAAACGTTACCTTCTCAGTTTAACATCAAGCAGAAAGGTAAACAGTTTCATTGATCGCCAACCAGAGGAAATTAAAAGTAACCACACACTTCTTTGTGAAAGCATAGAAAGAGAGTACACTCCCAACACAGGAACTCTGTCACAAACTGAACTCTATTTAGGTCATGACAGGTCATTCCAACCGTGGAAGAGAACTCCTCAGTTCATTAACAGCAATACAAAACCTCGATTTCAGCTGGACTCTGAGCAGTCCTTCCTTCTGCCTGTTATTTTTGTTTAAAATGATTTTTTTTTGTCTGAAGCCAGTTGTCAAAAGAGCTAGAAGAGTAGCTGGTTTGATCATGCTGCACGTGAGCATGCAGCTGATGTTCACATCTTTTTTCCATCACCACTGTTAACAAAAAAAAGTTTTCCTCTGAGGACTATTCACCCAACACAACACTGATGGTTGAGTGAAAGAAACCCACAATATCCAGCCATCATTATTGTTTTTTTAATACTCCTATGAGCTGTGGGAGGGCAGAGGGAGGAATTGTAATAATTTATGGCCCACCGCCTCTTCAGCCCATTTATCCTCTGTAAGGAAAAGATGTCCGAAATGACGCAATCACCAACCTGCTGTCTCACGTCGAATTGAAGTATAACCTAAGCTTAAAGACAATGAAAGTAAAATTAAATTGACTCACCTCTGCAGAATTCGTTTTTAAACCAGTTATTCCTTATATTTTATAGGCATTTATCTGCTGATATGCATTAATGGTCATCACAAATGAGTAGGGGTGTGTAAAATAATCGATTCAGCAATGGCATCCATCCATCCGCTTATCTGGGGTCAGGTTGCAGGGGCAGCAGACTAAGCAGAGAAACCCAAAATTCCCTCTCAGCCACCTGGACCAGCTCCTCTGGGAGAATCCCAGGGTGTTCCCAGGCCAGCTGAGAAACATAGGCCTCATTCATAATGCTAAGTTCACACCAAACGCGTTTTGAGCTGCAGGAGCGGCCGGTTTATATGCAAACTCTATGGTGAACGCACGTCTAGGGGTCACGCGGCGTGTCTAGAGCATTTAGTGCGCAAGGTAGCAGCAGGTGCGGTTGAGCGTTTTCCATGCATGTGGCGCGTCCAAAGCAGCCGACGCTCGAGTTCAAAAATCTGAACTTTTGCTGCTCGGTGCGTCATGTCAACCAATCAGAGAGACTCATTTTTCCATGTGACTGTTTCCTGAAACAGAGGGACAGGAGCTCTTTAGCTGAAATGGATCGTCTGTAGTTGATGTTCTGGCTGGAGATATCAGCACCGATGTGGGTCAGCGGCTTGTTAAACTGACCGCGGTGTTAAAACTGGGCTCGGGACAAAAATAGTTTGTCAGATTGTAGCTCCTGGAGTGGTGAAACTCACCGAACAAACCACCTCTAAATTATCTGGTGAATTAATCTGGTGTGCACAACGTTCGTTGCTCTTTAGTAAATGAAGAAAGCCATTTTATTTATTTTATCTTTATTTCAACCGTCATTAAAGACAGACCCGGAAAAAACCAAGACCCTCCTCCCTCTACACGCCTCTAGTCTGGTCCCGGTCTGAAAAAAAAAAAAGTCCATCAGAGCGCCTCTAAATTATCTGGTGAATTAATTATCTGCTGTGTGCAACGTTCACTTGCTCTTTAGTAAATAAAGCAAAGCCATTTTCTTTATTTTATCTTTATTTCAACCGTCAACAGACCGGAAAAAGAACAAAGATGCTCCTCCCATTGCAAGTCTTCAGACACGTTCGGTGTGAATGGACATCCTATTGACAGGCAGCCAAAAACTTGCGTCAGGAGCATTTTTGCTGCTCAAGACGTGTTTGGTGGGAACCGGCTTCAGTCACTACCCAAAGCTCGTGACCATAGATGAGGGTAGGAACGTAGACTGACATAGAAATATAATTTAAGTTCATAAGAATTTCTCGGTGCAGCCAGGGGTCAGAGGGAGTCCAGTTCTGTGGTCTCATGATTCCGTCCGTTTTCTTCCGCTTATCTGAGGTCGGGTCGCGGGGACAGCTGGAGACCCAGACTTCCCTCTCCCCAGCCACTTTGGCCAGCTCATCCAGGGGAGTCCCAAGGCGTTCCCAGGCCAGCCAAGAGAGCCCAGACACCCTGTGGAGGAAACTTGTTTCAGCCGCCTTTTTCCGCAGTCTTTTTTTTTTCGGTCACTACCCAAAGCTCGTGACCGTAGACAAGGGTCGGAACGTAGACCGACCGGTAAATCGAGAGCTTTGTCTTTTGGCTCAGCTTCTGCTTCACCATGACGGATCGGTCCTGCTCCATTCTTCCCTCATTTGTGGACAAGACCCCAAGATACTTAAACTCCTCCACTTGGGGCAGGACCTCCTCCCCAACACGGAGAAGACAACCTACCCTTTTCCGGCTCAAGACCATGGTCTTGGATTTGGAGGCACTAAATCCTCATCCCGGCCGCTTCACACTCGACTGTGAACCGCTCCAGAGAGAGCTGGAGATCACGATCTGGTGAAGCCAATAGGACCACATCATCCGCAAAAAGCAGAGATGTGATCCTAAGGTCACCAAAAAGGATCCCCTCAACACCTCGGCTGCACCTAGAAATTCTGTCCATAAAAGTTATGAACAGAATCGGTGACAAAGGTCAACCTTGGCGGAGTCCAACTCTCACCGGAAACGAGTCGGACTTACTACCAGCAATGTGGACCAAGCTCTGACACCGGTCATACAAGGATCTAACAGCCCGTATCAATGGGCCTGGTACCCCATACTCCCAAAGTACCCCCCACAGGAGTCCCTGAGGGACACGGTCGAACGCCTTCTCCAAGTTCACAAAACACATGTAGACTGGTTGGTTGAACTCCCATGAACCCTCCAGGACCCTGTTGAGGGTGTAGAGCTGGTTCGCTGTTCACGACCAGGACGAAAACCACACTGCTCTTCCTGAATCCGAGATTAGACTATCCGACCGACCTTTGTGTACTTCTTATTTTTAGGAAATTAATATCAAAACATTTAAAGCAAAATTGCATCAATTTGAATTCAAGTCGATTTGTGCCCCAAAGAAATGAAACTGAATTGAATTGTGAGGTTATTAAGAATACTCAGCCCTACAAATGAGCTCTTCTGGGCCTGAGTCTGAGAAAGATTTGAGTGTGTTTTTAGGTGATGAGTAATGTGATCCATTAGTTCTGTAACTGAGCTGAGATGTGTCAGGTAACATCGCAGTAATTTAATGAGGACTCCAGCCCAGGAGAAGCAGATGTGTGCACGAACATCCCCCCGCCCCCACTCTCTTGCATATCAAGAATGCATATCACCCACCGCCCTCCATGCCGACATTCTGAACATAAAATGTTCAAATGTGACCAGTTAGAACTCAGAGTATGTGTTGCAGGTGACTCTCAGCTGCTACCACACCAAATATTATCTCAGTGTTTGTAAAACTGACTGACTTCAAGTCATCTTTGTGTTTGCTAAGGTTGATTTAGCTGTGGGGCCAGCTCAGGTTGACACAAAGTGTCAAATTAATTTTACTAAAATCTATTCAGTGCTTTGACACATTTTGCTTACAGACGGACACAAACATGTATATAAAGTCAGCATTCCATGACATGAGGCAATATTAGCATCAACATATTTTTGCTGTGCTGTAATGATTTTACAACCACAGAATGAACTCATTGGTTTGTGTAATCAAACCATCCAACAGAGCAGGATTAGTGTTTGTGTAAACCTGGGTTGTTGTTGTTTTTTTTTTTATGAAAGGAGCCTGACCATCCTCGTTCTTTAAACGTCTCAACACTTTCCTCGGCAGGTATCGAAGTGTGGAACCCAGCGTTCGACGTGACCCCTCATCAGCTCATCACAGGAGGCATCATCACAGAGCTGGGGGTCTTCCTCCCGTCAGAGCTCCAGGCAGCGCTCACGGGTCGCCTCACCGCCCTCTAAAGCCTCCCAGCGCCCCCTGCTGGTCCTGGTGCTCCACTGCACACTTAACATCCAACACAGACACTGTTGTCTTCACTGAGTGTGCACTGGTTTTGTTGTTTTATTTAAATTTTGCTCACACACACACACACACACTCTGTTACATGTCAGTGGTGCACACAGAGAAAAAAGTCTGTCTGGCAGCTGCAAACAAACAAAAAATCACTGCAGGGAATCAGGAAGTCATGCAGTCTCTTTAAACCCCTTTTCATGTCATCTTTACATCCTGAGCTTTTCATCCCATGTTACATTTTTTTGTTGCCTCTTTCTTTCCCTAAAAGGCTTCTGAAGCGATAAAAAGAGCTCAGCTGGACTTAAAACCTCTAAATTCTATTTGGCAAGACGAATAATTTGAGGTGACATTTTACTGACTTCTTCAACAATAAGAGATTTGTAAAAGAACGTAAAGGAAAAGCACGGCTTATCCTTCGATTTCAAAGCAGTCGTGGTTTCCAAAATGCTGCTACTCATTCTGTATATATTTCTTCCCCTCTGGTAGTGCGTGTACATATGTAGAAAACTAACCTCTGCTAGTAAAAAGCTACTGCTATTTTAACCAAAACTGTGGTTATTTAAAATCAAAGTAGCCATCTAAAATGTTATATTAACATGTCATTTCTGTTGTTCAGTGTAGAACTGTTTTGTAGAGGAATAATCCAATTTATAGCTCGTAGACTTTCACACATTTTAAGCTATGAGAAAAATAGGATATCAGTCTTTTTTTTATTTTATTTTTAAAAAATTTTAAGTTGTGCAGCAAATATTTGAACAAATTCTCATTCAGCTGAAGCCTTTTCCAGAACATGGCTGTGTTTATACCTCACTTCATGTTTGTGTCATTACTCCTCCTGTACTGCACTATAACACACCTATACTCTTACGTATTATAACACACAAACATGTATCTTTACAGATCCAGCTGCTCTGGGGGTAAAAAAGTGTTGTAACATTAGGTTGTGATCACGTTTAAAGGAATAGTTCACACTGTAGTGAAGGATCTTTGGCTCGTCAGTCGAGATGATTTGTTTATCTTTGTAATTTGCCAAAAGTGAGGAAGACGCAAAAAATCCAACATTTATGTTACATTTATTATATTTACCGAACTACCAAATTTAGTCATGTTTAATACAATCTTAAGAATAATACGATCATTTTTTGAGATTTAAATCATAAAAAATGTAATCGTTATGAGCCACCACTCATTTCTGACAGATTTCAGGATTTTTCAGCCTTTGCGGTGCGCCCTCTAGTGGTGAAATATTATTTGTGGAGACACAGTTGTGCTTGTGTTTTACTGCAGAGATGCAGCGGACGTTTGCTGTTCCGTGTGTCACTGAAGTTTTTATTTTATTTTTTAGTTAAGAAGCTTTTGATGCCTGGTTTGTGTCTTGTTCACCTCTGATAAAAAGCCAAGTGGATAATAAACACAACCCAGAGGCGAGCTGTAGATGCTTTTATTTTGGCGTGAACTAATCCTTTTAGATGTTGGGATGGTGACTTTTTTATTTCCGTGGAAATCACTGCGACAGACATAACTTCATCAACGATCTGAATGTAAAATGTCCCTCAGATGAACTTGTGGAGTTTCAGACACTCGGTCACTTCCTGCCTTTCTGCTCCCTTCAGGATGTGCTTCGACTGTTTTTATCCGTTCTTGTAAGTTTAACTCTGCTTTTGTCCTGAAACTCTTTCAAACAGTTATGTCAAAACAAAGCCATGCAGTTAGGGACAGAAAGGTAACAAACGTGTTTACTCTTTGGGTTTTTGTTGTTTGCCTTTTCTTTAATCCTGAAGAAAATGTGAGATTAAAGACCTCCACGCAGTGTAGGAGATTGATGTTTTAGATCAGGGGTGGGCAATCCTGGTCCTCGAGGGCCGCAGCCCTACATGTTTTATGTTTTTCCTGCTCCAACACACCTGATTCAGACATTGATTTACCTTCTTAGTTCTGCTGTATGGAGGACCAAAACTGACATAATTATAAATAAAAGCAGAAATATATAAATAAACCACTAAATAAATAAACACACTTAAAATGCACCAATTCAATTAAAAAAGAACTTCACCTCATGTTTTGTAATTTAATTCTCGTTTAATTAATATTTTTTTAACAATTCAAATTTGACTTATTTTAAAATATATATTTTTCAGTTTTCCCTTTTACTTGTACATACATTTGTCTCTTAAATGTTTAAATTGAAATATTTTTATAGTTTTGTCCCACAAGTCTTTTTTTGTTTCGATGTGTTGCAGGCATGTGCTGCCTCACTTTGGCTTAAAGTTTAAAGTTTAGTTAAAAACAAAGGCACTGGTAAGTTTTTCTCCTTGCCTTTGTTTTAAACTAATCTTTAAGCTAAACTGAGGCAGCACACGCCTGCAACACATCGAAATAAAAAAGCCTTGTGGGAAAAATATAAAAATAATTAAGTATAAACATTTAAGAGACACAAATGCATGTAGAAGTAAAAGGAAAAACAAAAAAAATATGTATTTTAAAAAACATTCAAATTTAAATTGTGTTAAAATATATAGACTAATTTAGAGAGGGAGGTCTGGGCCTCCCTTCTGAAGCTGCTGCCCCCGCGACCCGACCCCGGATAGGCGGAAGAAAATGGATGGATGGATGGAATTTATACTAACCTGGAAAAATAAATATTCAAGTCATTTCAAACAAAAACATGAGATAAAGTTCTCCTTTGTTATTTTAATTGGTGCATTTTAAATGTATTTATTTAGTGGTTCATTTATATACTGCTTTTATTTCTAATTATGTCAGTTTTGGTCCTCCATACTGTAGAAGCCTGATAATCATCTATTCATTCATATCAGGTGTGTTGGAGCAGAGAAGCAAGTAAAACATGCAGGGCTGCGGCCTCCAGGACCAGGATTGCCCACCCCTGTTTTAGATGGTTTGAAGACATTGTTGGTCAACATATTAAATTACCTACTGTGACCTCATGTTTCAACTTGAATTGTTAAATGATCTGTATTTTTAATCGAACTCCAGTTTCATCCTACCGACTGTTGTCTGGATGCTACCTGTCCAGATAATCATCCCAGGTATCTGCCTGTCTGCAGATCATCCAGTGTGGCCTGAGGGCCTGGTTCAGCTAAATGAAGTCCTGCTTAGTTTACAGAAGACAAAGCATCATCTAATCAGTTCTGACATTGAATTCATTTTTCAATGAAAAAAAAATATTTTTGAATTTTTCTTTCCATAAATCACAGGTGCTGAAAAAGATTTTCCACTAAGCAAAAACTCGTCCATCTTTAATCCTTTAATGTTGTTTTCCTGAAATTTGTTTTCCTGTTTGTAAGCAGGATTAAGAGACTACAGAGGAGGAAGAAAATAGACAAAAAAAAAAAGGCAAAAATCCAGTGACAAAAAGTCTTTTGCAGTTGTTTAAGTTCCAGTTAATGCTAACAAATGTGTCAGGAGTTACTGAGTGTAAAACATGATTAAGGTTGCAGTTTCACACGTTAACACTAGGGGTGCAACAATACATGTACCCGTCGATCCGTTCAATACAGAGCTTTAGGTTCAATACACACTTGTATCAAACAATACAGATTTTAAAAATTTACTTTATCAACTTGTCTTCTGAAGATGCTCTGTGTTGAAGGATCAGTGGATCTGTGTTCGACTACTCCACCTAGGCTGCATTGTCGAGCTCTGATCCACTGAGAAACTTGCTGTTTCAGCAACATTTAATTCAAAAACTGGACTTTTGAGGTTAAACAAACGTTCGTAATTAATTTAAATAAATTACAAGTTAAAAGGGGCATGAAAATTTCTCTATTTTGTATCGAAAAAATATCGAGCCGTACAAAAGTATTGAACCGAATCGTGAATTTTCTGAATCATTGCACCCCTAGTAAACACTCGTGTGCTGCTTTCATGTAAAGTAACATAGACAGAATGAGTCTTACAAGAAAATATGGTTTTATGCTGGCATCCTGTGATAATAATAATGAGGCTTTTATTTTGACGGTTCTAATTCAAGCCTGCCAATCTAAACTTTGTGGACTTTTTTATTTTTGTTGCTTTTGTTCAGTGCTGATGCCATCTGACTGTGACAAGATAAAGCATCGGGTGTGTTTTACTTTGAAAAGTCAGTACAACTCTGAGGCGATACTTTAACATACTTCCTGTTAGCCTCGTGCCATCCAGGAGGAGGCTTTTATTTTGAAAACAGTTAACAGGAAAAACTCCAAACAGCCCAGTTTAAATCAACTCATCTTTGTATCAGTGATGTAGTTGGTGAATTCAGCAGTTAGAGGTAGGGGTGTAAGAAAATATCGATACACTGAAATATCGCGATATTTTATTTCCCGATACTGTATCGATATTCTAAAGCTCTGTATCGATTTTTTTATTAAGGTTTAAAATGTCAACTTTCCTGCCAGCCATTCATTTTTATGTTGTAGTTCAGCCTCTGACCACTAGTTGGCAGCAGTGGGACAGCCATTTGGCTCCTGGAGAGTAAGGGTAGCGTTAGCATTGTAAGTAAACATTAGCTTTTCTTTTCTTTTTTCAATAAGAGGTTTTTATTTAACAGAGCTTTTGGACAAAACAAATCGTAATATATCGCCTAGTTTACAGTATCGCAATATATCGCCTTGTTTACAGTATCGCAATATATCGGGATATATCGTATCGTGACCCCTCTGTCGTGATATGTGTCGTATCGCCAAATTCTTGCCAATACACAGCCCTAGAAGTCAATGGAATGTCCCCACAAGGATAGAGAGAC